GTACACAAACACCACGTGAACACTACTCAGTAAGCCAAAAGAGGGAGAGTACCGAACCTTGTTTTCATCAAATTACAATTACTGGGTTATGTTCCTTTTCCCCCCCACGTTTTTTTTTTTGTGTAGAAATATATAGCGGTCTAAAATGATCAATAAAATGTTTCCATGGATCAATTTAGTAATAATAACAATTGAATATTTTATTGTCATCGGAAACAAAGCTTCCCTGAAAATTTCAGCGCGCTAGCTAACTGGGAAGTGCCCGAAATTTCGATCGCAAGATTTGATTGGAAAAACAGACGCGAAAGCAAGTTAAAGAAAACGTGGGGAAAAAAGTCAAAGAAAAAAAGTCAGTTTTTGCTAAGAAAAAAGTCAAAGAAAAGAAGTCACAAAAATGTATTAAGAAATATTTTGATTTTGAGATCATGGGCATATCACACGTAGCACGGGCAGATAAAACTTCCTTTTTGTTTCTCAACGTTTGTTTACTCTCCTTTAACTGCCGGCTCTTGCGGCTCCCCCCGCCGGAAGTCCTCGCCTTTTGTAGGAGCCGGCAATCTCTTCCACCCCCGAGTGACATTAAAGCCAAGCCTTGGTCCCCACACCCAATCACGTCTGCCATGATTGCTCCAGTATGGGCCCCCGCGTGCCATCAACACGATTATGCAATGAAAAATCTGGGACTATTTGTTGCTAAGCATAATTGCCTTGTGCCAACAAGTGTAGTTCCTCAAGGGACTTGTTCCACGTCTTATAGGGGTGGGTGTAGGGTTGGGTGTAGGGATGGGTGTAGGGGTGGGTGTAGGGGTGAGTGTAGGGGTGGGTGTAGGGGTGGGTGTAGGGGTGGGTGTAAGGGTGGGTGTAGGGGTGGATGTATTGGGGTGGGTGTATTGGGGTGGGTGTAGGGGTGGGTGTAGGGGTGGGTGTAGGGGTGGGTGTAGGGGTGGGTGTAAGGGTGGGTGTAGGGGTGGATGTATTGGGGTGGGTGTAGGGGTGGGTGTAGGGGTGGGTGTAGGGGTGGGTGTAGGGGTGGGTGTAAGGGTGGGTGTAGGGGTGGATGTATTGGGGTGGGTGTATTGGGGTGGGTGTAGGGGTGGGTGTAGGGGTGCGTTTATCGGTGGGTGTAGGGGTGGGTGTAGGGGTGGGTGTAGGGGTGGGTGTAGGGGTGGGTGTATTGGGGTGGGTGTAGGGGTGGGTGTAGGGGTGCGTTTATCGGTGGGTGTAGGGCTGGGAATAGGTGTGGGTGTATGTGTGGGTGTAGGGCTGGGTGTAGGGGTGGATGTAAGGGGTGGATGTAAGTGTGGATGTAGAGGTGGATGTAGGGGTTGATGTAAATACGGATGTAGGGGTGGGTGTAGGGGTGGGTGTAGGGGTGGATGTAGGGGTGAGTGTAGGTGTGGGTCTAGAGTCTGCATTAGATCTGGCATCAGCAGACGATTAGCCCGGCACTCCAGGGTAATCCCTAGCAGACGACATGTGCCGCGCGCTGACTCGCGCCACAGTCGTTTGCCTAAACCTTCTAGAACCTTCTCGCAACAAAGGAAAGCTGGCCGGCAGCCGGCAGCCAACCGGCGCTTAACAGACCTAGCCGGTTACCGGACAGTGTCTGCAAGCTTGAAGAGACCGGCGCCGAAATGTCAGGAACCGTGCAGTACCAGGTGTCGTCTGCTACACGTGGATGGGATCTCAAACAAATGGTGCCGGTGGTTCAAGCGACCCGGGAGTGCGAGGGGGGGGGGGGGGGGGGTTGGGGGATGGGGACCCGGGACGGGGTACAAACAAAATTTTAAAATAACTATCTATATTAAATTGAACGGCGCAAATCTTTGTATTACTTGGGTCTATCCCTGGGGCTTGACCCGATTCACAGTGTAACAGTTTTAAAGTTCTGGATCTGATTCACAGTATACCAGTTTTAAAGTTCTGGATCTGATTCACAGTATACCAGTTTTAAAGTTCTGGATCTGATTCACATTATAACAGTTTTAAAGTTCTGGACCTGATTCACAGTATAACAGTTTTAAAGTTCTGGATCTGATTCACAGTATAACAGTTTTAAAGTTCTGGATCTGATTCACAGTATAACAGTTTTAAAGTTCTGGATCTGATTCACAGTATAACGGTTTTAAAGTTCTGGATCTGATTCACAGTATAACAGTTTTAAAGTTCTGGATCTGATTCACAGTATAACGGTTTTAAAGTTCTGGATCTGATTCACAGTATAACAGTTTTAAAGTTCTGGATCTGATTCACAGTATAACAGTTTTAAAGTTCTGGACCTGATTCACAGTATAACAGTTTTAAAGTTCTGGATCTGATTCACAGTATAACAGCTTTAAAGTTCTGGATCTGATTCACAGTATAACAGTTTTAAAGTTCTGGATCTGATTCACAGTATAACAGTTTTAAAGTTCTGGACCTGATTCACAGTATAACAGTTTTAAAGTTCTGGACCTGATTCACAGTATAACAGTTTGAAAGTTCTGGATCTGATTCACAGTATAACAGTTTTAAAGTTCTGGATCTGATTCACAGTATAACAGTTTTAAAGTTCTGGACCTGATTCACAGTATAACAGTTTTAAAGTTCTGGATCTGATTCACAGTATAACAGTTTTAAAGTTCTGGACCTGATTCACAGTATAACGGTTTTAAAGTTCTGGATCTGATTCACAGTATAACAGTTTTAAAGTTCTGGATCTGATTCACATTATAACGGTTTTAAAGTTCTGGATCTGATTCACAGTATAACGGTTTTAAAATTCTGGATCTGATTCACAGTATAACAGTTTTAAAGTTCTGGATCTGATTCACATTATAACAGTTTTAAAGTTCTGGATCTGATTCACAGTATAACAGTTTTAAAGTTCTGGATCTGATTCACAGTATAACAGTTTTAAAGTTCTGGATCTGATTCACAGTATAACAGTTTTAAAGTTCTGGATCTGATTCACAGTATAACAGTTTTAAAGTTCTGGATCTGATTCACAGTATAACAGTTCTGGGCAAAACCATGTACGGAACTAAAGCTGTTGTAGCACATTCCTGTATCCTGCCCTGTATTGTGCCCTGTATTCTGCCCTGCTCTCCCCTCTGAGCCAGTTGCCCCCCCCCTTAAGTGGCTCTAGCGCCGCACAAGGGCGAGCACTGAGATCATCAGCAGACACTCACAGCGTGTATAGAGCTTGATTTCACTCACTCGTGTCTTGAGGGTGCACTCACACTCACACTCATACTCACACTCACACTCACACTCACACTCACACTCACACTCACACTCACACTCACACTCACACTCACACTCACACTCACGCATCGGCTCGTTACACCATTGGTGGGCTGAACCAATTTTGTGGTCTTGTTGGGACCAGTTTTGTGGTCTTGTTGGGACCAGTTTTGTGGTCTTGTTGGGACCAAATTTGTGGTCTTGTTGGGACCAGTTTTGTGGTCTTGTTGGGACCAGTTTTGTGGTCTTGTTGGGACCAAATTTGTGGTCTTGTTGGGACCAGTTTTGTGGTCTTGTTGGGATCAAATTTGTGGTCTTGTTGGGACCAGTTTTGTGGTCTTGTTGGGACCAGTTTTGTGGTCTTGTTGGGACCAAATTTGTGGTCTTGTTGGGACCAGTTTTGTGGTCTTGTTGGGACCAAATTTGTGGTCTTGTTGGGACCAATTTTGTGGTCTTGTGTTGGTTGATCAAGGCAGGTACCCGTCCTATAAATGTTGCTGGTTGCGTGAAACAAAATGTGAGTCTACATCGCGGTATGTGCAGGTTTAGCCCAACCTTGTGGCTAGGGTTGCAGGTTTAAAGTGTCAACCATAGACCAACCTTGTGGCTATGGTTGCAGGTTTAAAGTGTCAACCATAGACCAACCTTGTGGCTAGGGTTGCAGGTTTAAAGTGTCAACCATAGCCCAACCTTGTGGCTATGGTTGCAGGTTTAAAGTGTCAACCATAGCCCAACCTTGTGGCTAGGGTTGCACTGACTGAGTCGTGAGACTTTCAATATTGTTATAATCAGATTCGAAATGTCAATATTTTAACAGTGTAATATTGATGAGTGTATGAAAGTTAACGCAGATTGATGCTAAACCTAAGTGTCAGGTTAAGCGTCAGGTTAAACGTTAACGTTAAGGTTTAACAAAGCACACTGTCAGATGATGGAGGTCATAGAGTCTTGGTGCAATCGTTGTGTGGGTTAAAGTACCAGAGTCCAATAATGTGATGTGGCTCAAAATGTAGGGGTTTTACAGGGGAGGGGGAGTGAGGTTTTTTAGGGGAGTGAGGTGTTTTAGGGGAGTGAGGTGTTTTAGGGGAGTGAGGTTTTTTTAGGTGAGTGAGGTGTTTTAGGGGAGTGAGGTTTTTTTAGGTGAGTGAGGTGTTTTAGGGGAGTGAGGTGTTTTAGGGGAGTGAGGTGTTTTAGGGGAGTGAGGTGTTTTAGGGGAGTGAGGTTTTTTTAGGTGAGTGAGGTGTTTTAGGGGAGTGAGGTTTTTTAGGGGAGTGAGGTGTTTTAGGGGAGTGAGGTGTTTTAGGGGAGTGAGGTTTTTTTAGGTGAGTGAGGTGTTTTAGGGGAGTGAGGTGTTTTAGGGGAGTGAGGTGTTTTAGGGGAGTGAGGTGTTTTAGGGGAGTGAGGTTTTTTTAGGTGAGTGAGGTGTTTTAGGGGAGTGAGGTTTTTTAGGGGAGTGAGGTGTTTTAGGGGAGTGAGGTGTTTTAGGGGAGTGAGGTTTTTTTAGGTGAGTGAGGTGTTTTAGGGGAGTGAGGTGTTTTAGGGGAGTGAGGTTTTTTTAGGTGAGTGAGGTGTTTTAGGGGAGTGAGGTGTTTTAGGGGAGTGAGGTTTTTTTAGGTGAGTGAGGTGTTTTAGGGGAGTGAGGTGTTTTAGGGGAGTGAGGTTTTTTTAGGGGAGTGAGGTGTTTTAGGGGAGTGAGGTGTTTTAGGGGAGTGAGGTGTTTTAGGGGAGTGAGGTGTTTTAGAGTAGAAGTGAGGTATCTCAGAAAAAGTACTTACATGTTATGATTGACGCCATTTTCTCTTGCAGTTAATCCTTCAATCAAATGTCACGTGATCTGACGTCTTCATTGACAGCTGGTCGAGTACTCGATTCTGCTGAGTACTTGTATGAGTACTTGTATGAGTACTTGTATGAGTACTCTAGTACCTGACACGGCACCACCTGCAGTACGCCACTGTGCACCGTGTAATGAAGCTTCAGCTCTCCTAGAACTCACGAACAAAACACGTGAACAGCGCTGGTGCTCACCCAGAGAAACTACAACGTCCTCCCTGACTCGCGACTCACAAGTTTTAATCCAACTCAAAACAAATTGTAAACACACATCAACACCACAAACGTAAGCAGCACAGTGCGACGAACTGTACTAGAGATGAACTACAACATCCACTACACATCGTGGTGCTGATACTGACACGACTCTAATTACATTAATGAATTCGTTAAATCCACGTGCAATTAATGAATCTGACAATGGCAACGATCTGATGAGGGTGTTGTCTAGGCTCCTGGCGCCCTCGACGTGGTGCTGGACTTAGCGAGGACACCGTTAGGCAGGAGCAAACAATCACTCCAGTCCTCTCAGATAGCATCTCTCGTCTGCTCACCCCGTGGCGGGAAGGTGAGCGGTGCAAGCCTCCCCCCCCCTGCTCGCGCGGCCCCTCTAAGCCGTACCTCGGGACGGGAGCTAATCTAGTGCTCATCTAGACATCTTGTTGTCCCCCCTGAGTCGTTGTACGAGCACTCCCTCGGCTCTAGAGGTCACGTCAATAGTGTTCACGTTACGGATCACGTCAATAGTCATCATGTTACGGATCACGTCAATAGTCATCACGTTACGGATCACGTTAATAGTCATCACGTTACGTGTCACGTGAACACAATCTTCTAACTCTAACCCTCAAGTTAAACCAAACACAAAGTTTGACTGGCCATTCAACGAACAAGTTATTTCCAATAACAAATTGTTAGAATATTTACTACTTACTGTACCAATCAGTAGAACGTTCAACTACTAAGCCTATAAAGGTAATAAACTAATCAGGCAAATTAAAAAGATTTTATAAAGTTATATCAGGCAACACAACCAATCAAAATAAAACATTTTCTAAATCCCGGCAGGCGACATTTATAATCCAACAACCCCCTCCAACCCCCTCCAACCCCCACCAACCCCCAACAACCCCCTCCAACCCCCAACGACCCCCTCCAACCCCCTCCAAATGAAATGTCTCAATCTGAAAAATCATTCTCCGTAACTCTTCTTGGATTGTTCTGTTTTTTGTATTTCTTTGGTTGTCCCCCTTGGAACCACAGATACAAATTCTTAAAAATACAGCTCCAGTGAATGATTGCAACATTTGAAAGTTGTTAGTAATTTAAAATAAACCGGGAGTGATCTCTTCTAAACTTTCTCGAATATTCTTATATAACACTACGGGGGATGGCAACTCGGGATATAGAATTGATTTATACAAGCTTTTATTTAACTTGTTTCTAGTGTCGTCTGTCGTCAGTCTGTCTTGTCTAGCTCGAAACGCCCGAGCGAAATTGCAGGCACTTCTAACCGACAGATACGGTTCGTAGTTGGTACGTGGGTCAAGACATGAAATCAATGCAACATGACATTAAATTTGATTTAATTGGTCGCCTGATTTATGATTTAATTAAAATTTTGTGGCATAGTTTGAACTAGAAATATAAACCAGAGAACTGGAGACATTGTGACACAGTTTAAGGCCATATACCACACATGTTTTCGACAGTTTAAAACTTTTTCTACTAGAATGGGTTTAACACTAATTCTGATAGTAACACCATTTAGCTATCTAACCTGAACGTTTTCAACCTCTACAGCCAACGGTAATCCGTTTATTGCGATATGAAATAGGGTACACCCCATCAAATTTTCACACTACTACGCGGACAACAAGTATCTTCGAGCGTGTGTTACGTGTTTTATTGCCCACGAGACACCAAGTTGACGGCAACCTATCGGCCAAGCACTCGTGTACAGGCAGGTGTAGTGACACAATATAAACCAGAAAACTTGCGAAATTAACATTTACAGCTTCAGGGCAGGGCGTGATAGAAAACATTTAGCGACTCCATGGGGAGATCTCTCCTTCCATTGTAGGAAAAAAAGTCACAGGAAAAATAACATAGAAAAAAGGCACAGGAAAAAAGTCACAGGAAAAAAGTCACAGGAAAAAAGTCACAAATGCGTATTTGCATGGAATGTTTTAATACTTTTATGTATTATGCTAATCAACTTAAGATTAATTAAATTTAATATCATAATTTTAGATATATATGCGTGGTTTGTATACACATAGTAACATTTATAACACAAAAGATTTTAGTATAAAGCTTTTAGGTTTAATTGTAATTCTGTTTCACAAAAAAATTTAATAGAATTTAATTTAATGTTCGAACCTTCTTGGTTTCAATCGTGTTTTTAACACCAACATTACATTAGCGTGAAATAGCACAAAATGAATGTGACTTGCTCGCCTCAACTAATCACAACAATAGTTCAACCAACTTTACTGACCACATTCATTACGCTCATTACATAACAAAGCCTAGGATCAAACGAGAAAGCCGACACGGTTCAAAGGCTGTGATTGACTCAAAACATACACAACACACAATATAGACGGACAAAGCCGACTGAGGAGAAGCCGACCAAGATAAGGTTTACGGCAAAAACAAATGCAAACACAATGATGAGCATAAATTTATTTTATAATAATTTTCCGCCGTAAAAATACGTAACAAATGTTGAGGTTATTATGTACATGATCCTACAGTAGGCCTATTTTAAATATTTATTGCTATAAATCATAATGCTTTTATAGTTTACAAATATGCTACCCAAATTATCAAGCGTATTAATAAACACCCAAAATTTTACAATTATCAACAATTAAATCAAAATATTTCTTAGGATATTTTTGTGACTTTTTTTCTGTTTTTTTTTCCTTTGGCTTTTTTTCCATTCACCCTTTTCTTTCAGGTTTGTGTGGGGTGTGTTTGTGTGGGGTGTGTTTGTGTGGGGTGTGTTTGTGTGGGGTGTGTTTGTGTGGGGTGTGTTTGTGTGGGGTGTGTTTGTGTGGGGTGTGTGGGTGTGTTTGTGTGGGGTGTGTTTGTGTGTTTGTGTGGGGTGTGTTTGTGTGTTTGTGTGGGGTGTGTTTGTGTGTTTGTGTGGGGTGTGTTTGTGTGGGGTGTGTTTGTGTGGGGTGTGTTTGTGTGGGGTGTGTTTGTGTGGGGTGTGTTTGTGTGGGGTGTGTTTGTGTGGGGTGTGTTTGTGTGGGGTGTGTTTGTGTGGGGTGTGTTTGTGTGGGGTGTGTTTGTGTGGGGTGTGTTTGTGTGGGGTGTGTTTGTGTGGGGTGTGTTTGTGTGTTTGTGTGGGGTGTGTTTGTGTGGGGTGTGTTTGTGTGGGGTGTGTTTGTGTGGGGTGTGTTTGTGTGGGGTGTGTTTGTGTGGGGTGTGTTTGTGTGGGGTGTGTTTGTGTGGGGTGTGTTTGTGTGGGGTGTGTTTGTGTGGGGTGTGTTTGTGTGGGGTGTGTTTGTGTGTTTGTGTGGGGTGTGTTTGTGTGTTTGTGTGGGATGTGTTTGTGTGTTTGTGTGGGGTGTGTTTGTGTGGGGTGTGTTTGTGTGGGGTGTGTTTGTGTGGGGTGTGTTTGTGTGGGGTGTGTTTGTGTGGGGTGTGTTTGTGTGTTTGTGTGGGGTGTGTTTGTGTGTTTGTGTGGGATGTGTTTGTGTGTTTGTGTGGGGTGTGTTTGTGTGGGGTGTGTTTGTGTGGGATGTGTTTGTGTGTTTGTGTGGGATGTGTTTGTGTGGGGTGTGTTTGTGTGGGGTTTGTTTGTGTGGGGTGTGTTTGTGTGGGGTGTGTTTGTGTGGGGTGTGTTTGTGTGTTTGTGTGGGGTGTGTTTGTGTGTTTGTGTGGGATGTGTTTGTGTGTTTGTGTGGGGTGTGTTTGTGTGGGGTGTGTTTGTGTGGGGTGTGTTTGTGTGGGGTGTGTTTGTGTGGGGTGTGTTTGTGTGGGGTGTGTTTGTGTGTTTGTGTGGGGTGTGTTTGTGTGTTTGTGTGGGATGTGTTTGTGTGTTTGTGTGGGGTGTGTTTGTGTGGGGTGTGTGGGTGTGTTTGTGTGGGGTGTGTTTGTGTGTTTGTGTGGGGTGTGTTTGTGTGTTTGTGTTTGTGTGTTTGTGTGGGGTGTGTTTGTGTGGGGTGTGTTTGTGTGGGGTGTGTTTGTGTGGGGTGTGTTTGTGTGGGGTGTGTTTGTGTGGGGTGTGTTTGTGTGGGGTGTGTTTGTGTGGGGTGTGTTTGTGTGGGGTGTGTTTGTGTGGGTGTGTTTGTGTGGGGTGTGTTTGTGTGGGGTGTGTTTGTGTGGGGTGTGTTTGTGTGGGATGTGTTTGTGTGGGGTGTGTTTGTGTGGGGTGTGTTTGTGTGGGGTGTGTTTGTGTGGGGTGTGTTTGTGTGGGGTGTGTTTGTGTGGGTGTGTTTGTGTGGGGTGTGTTTGTGTGGGTGTGTTTGTGTTTGTGTGGGGTGTGTTTGTGTGGGGTGTGTTTGTGTGGGGTGTGTTTGTGTGTTTGTGTGGGGTGTGTTTGTGTGGGTGTGTTTGTGTGGTGTGTGTTTGTGTGTTTGTGTGGGGTGTGTTTGTTTGGGTGTAATTGTGTGGGGTGTGTTTGTAAGGGATGTGTTTGTGTGGGTGTGTTTGTGTGGGGTGTGTTTGTGTGGGGTGTGTTTGTGTGGGTGTGTTTGTGTGGGTGTGTTTGTGTGGGGTGTGTTTGTGTGGGGTGTGTTTGTGTGTTTGTGTGGGGTGTGTTTGTGTGGGTGTGTTTGTGTGGGCTGTGTGGGGTGTGTTTGTGTGTATGTGTGGGCTGTGTGGGGTGTGTTTGTGTGGGGTGTGTTTGTGTGGGATGTGTGGGGGGTGTTTGTGTGGGCTGTGTGGGGTGTGTTTGTGTGGGGTGTGTTTGTGTGGGATGTGTTTGTGTGGGGTGTTTTTGTGTGGGGTGTGTTTGTGTGGGGTGTGTTTGTGTGGGGTGTGTTTGTGTGGGGTGTGTGGGTGTGTTTGTGTGGGGTGTGTTTGTGTGTTTGTGTGGGCTGTGTTTGTGTGGGCTGTGTGGGGTGTGTTTGTGTGGGCTGTGTGGGGGTGTGTTTGTGTGTTCGTGTGGGGTGTGTTTGTGTGGGATGTGTGGGTGTGTTTGTGTGGGATGTGTGGGTGTGTTTGTGTGTTTGTGTGGGGTGTGTTTGTGTGGGGTGTGTTTGTGTGGGGTGTGTTTGTGTGGGGTGTGTTTGTGTGTTTGTGTGGGGTGTGTTTGTGTGGGTGAGTTTGTGTGGGGTGTGTTTGTGTGGGTGTGTTTGTGTGGGGTGTGTTTGTGTGCTTGTGTGGGGTGTGTTTGTGTGGGTGTGTTTGTGTGGGCTGTGTGGGGTGTGTTTGTGTGTTTGTGTGGGCTGTGTGGGGTGTGTTTGTGTGGGGTGTGTTTGTGTGGGATGTGTGGGGTGTGTTTGTGTGGGCTGTGTGGGGTGTGTTTGTGTGTT